ATTCACGCATCGTTCTCACCTGTATTCCCTGGATATCTTCTGTTTTCTTATTTGGAATAGTGGAGCCGGTTCTGGTTTATTATGAAATAAACGAAATTGAAGAATACGAAGATTTATTTAGCCAAAAATAAGCAAAAGAAAATAATGGAAAAATCGAAGGCACAGCATAGAAACCGGCTCCGGCACCTAACTCTCCAATGCGTTTCTCCAAAAGAAAGCTTTCTTCCTCGATATCGTAATAATAGCAACGCGAATGAAGTTCGTTCCGAGAGGCAGATCTTCATTTCTCCGCTTCAATTTTTATTTATAGCATTGACGTTCGGTAGAACCGATCGATTGGAAGTTGAATCGACGATCGTTCTCTAATTGGCCGAGCACCCGAGCTCCAATCGATCACAGTCGGTGTCGGTGTGCGATATCGAGGTCGGATACGGGGAAACGAAATAATCCGCCGCTTTGTAGACGGTTCCGTTTCCGTCGCGCAGTCTTAGGAGCCTCCGTATCCTAATCGCGCATTCTATTTCCGGGGCACAGAGAGGCTCCCTGTTAATGAATCTGTTTAATGAAACCTCGGTTTTGGTATATCCAGCGTCCGGGACGATCTTAACGAGGTTGCTCGGCTGGTAAACACGTCCAGTTTCCTGGCTGCATCCCGAGTAATAATCCTTGGTGCACGAATCAATAATCGTCCCGGCACACGCTCGTTCGGTCCCAGGAAGCGTAACACGCATTGTCGCGAAGCTCGGTGCATCCTCGGACCGTTGCATATTAACCTACGAGCGTGTGCTGCGGTTCCCTGTAATATATTGGTTCGCATACAAACTGCGGACACCGAATCCGCGCGTCCCGATGGTTCGCAAACTGACAAATCGCGCACTGTCGAAAACACTCGAATGCGATTAATTGCCGTCGATCCTCGGGCGTCACTTTTTGCGGTTCTGCTCCAATATCCGCCGGATGCCTGTTACAGCTGCAAAAATAAAGCTCGGATTCTGTGTGTGGTCGCTGCGGCGAATGTCGCTCGTCCTATCAAATATATATCTCCTCGTTGACAAGAAGTGGCCACTTTTTGTTCGATTGGATTTTTCAGTGTTTCAAAAGAGAACACGCTTCGATACTCCCGCGATTCGATGATCGAACATTCAGGGACACAGAGTTCTTACGGAATCGAACGAATAATGCACCCGCGGATGCTCGCTGTTCCTCGAAGATCGAGAAAAGAACACGCGCTATTCTCTATAATTCGACAACGTTGTCGAGCATATAAAAATGCCACGAAACTCTAACGTTCCTGTTCTCAGAAAATCGTGCAACGAATACATGTTACTCTGTGTATGATATCGGGGGTCCACTGTCGAGCGTAGGAGAATGCGGCGACTCTAAAATTCCTGTTCGTAAAAAATCGAACAAACGGAACACGTGTTAACGTCTAGAATCCGGGCACAGGAAAATGCAACGTTCTAAAATTCACGAGCCCGGAGAGTCGGTTATACGCAGAGGATCGCGAAATTTCGCGTGCAAATCGAGGCAATAGCGGCGCAAAGGCGCGAATGAGATTTCCGGACGCCGATTTTATCGTCGAACGAGAGAGGATCGAGAACAACGGCGTTTTTCCCAACGGTGCCGGCCACGCGTGGCCGATTCATGGGTGAAAGATCGCGGTGGGCGCAATCAGCGTTGGAATACGCGGAGGATCGACCCGCGACCGCGAAGAATCGCGTGCTTTTTCTGCTCCATTTCGCGCGGAGATTCCTTCGCGACGCTGCGGCGAAAAACTAGCGGAAACGCCGAGCTTCCTGCGATCCCCCGGCAGAAAGCCGGGAGAGAAAAACCAGGATTTATTGAAATCCGCTCGACGTGCTTCCGTAATATATGATCAGTCGATTCTCTGACCCTCTCCGACGACAAGTTGGAATTATTGGGCGCCAAGGACCGAGCGTAGCGACGGCGACGCGTTTTCTCCATAATTACATCTCTCTCGGGAACGATGCATCAAAAGGGACCTCTCCGACGTGTATTTTCAACGAGAACCGGTCCTCTTCGATTTCTTTTACGTAAACACCTATCGGGCCGCTGATTTAGCTCTGTTATTCCGCAAACTCGTGCCGAAGTTCGATTCGGCAGGGGCTTGGGACACTGCCAACGGCAAATTCTCTTTTTCAAGATTTCTAATCCGATCATTTTAGTCGGCATTCCATCTCGACACTTCGAGGCGCTCGTATTTTCGGTTTTATAGACCTACGAATTTGTCGAAGGCCTCTGGTAAATTAATCTCGGAGAATTAAGACTCGTAGTCTGTCAGTCGCCTCGATGCTTGTCTAGCTCCGGATTATATCTGTTCGATCTATTATCCAGAGATCCATCGTTCGATCGAAATTGTCGGAGTTCCAGTCGAACGTTTCTTAGAGATCTATTCGAGGAGGATGCAACGTCAAAATTGCGGAATTTCGTTGACTCGACATTCGCGATGTCGGCTCACGTTTTCATGTCACGATTTTCTTTTCCCACGGCTCTTCGGCTCGCGACGGTCGCCGAGAGAAAAGAAAAATGATGGCGAGATCCAATCGCAATCAAGGATTTCTCCGAGCCTCGCGTCTGGACTTGGCGAAATCATTAAGCGACGAGCCGACGTCGCGCCGCCGTTGATCCTGTGTCCCGGTTATCCGGCGTTATTAACTTTGATTGCCAAACCAGTCATTTTTTATTTTATTCCCCGAAATGCAATTTCGTTGGTTCGCTTCCCGATCCATTCATCTTCTCGGAGCTTAACGGATCGTTTATCGTTAACCGGCGCGGACCAATTAATTTGTCGTTTATATCCATCTGTAGCACGGCGGCATTATCCCTGTTGGCCGTATGAAAGATTCCGTGGCAGCGGAAATTCAATGAAACGAGACGCCGATGCGAGAACCGGGAAAGCATAATTTCCAAGCCCGGAAAATATTGCGGAAACGCGGAACGTGGAACGCTGTAATACTTTTTCACCGTTCTTCGCGTTCGATCATAAATCTCGCCCTGGCTCCGGGAGAATCGGCCGTTATCGGTTTAATTGGTCATCGACATTCCGCGTTGCCTCGAACTGCTCTTCCATTGATTATTATGGCTCGTGGGCGAATGATAAGAGACGCCGAAAGAAAGCTTCGGGGGCGTAAGATAACGATAGCGACGACGCTATCGTTCCTGAAACGGTGCTAAATTTTCCGAGCCCGTGATCAATTGTCCAACCGCGCTCCGATTTTCCGGCCAATTATTTCTTGAATGCTCCGCGCGAGTTCGTTACTGGCCCCACAAATCTCCGGTAATTATCTCGGACCGATTAAAACCGAAACTCGAAACGTAACCACCCTTCCGTCGACGATTCTTCGTCACGGTCGCGAACCCTCTGAACCGTGGTTAACGGGACAGGAAACGAAGTTCCTGGATCAAGAGAAACAGTTTACACGCATGCACACCCACGGTCTCATAATTTCTCCGGGGAACGGGCATCTGAAATTGAATGCCCCGCGGAATACCGGTCAGGAGGATGCTTCTTTCCCAAGATAACTCGCGCGGGCGTTGCAGTTCGGATCTCGAGATTTTACATCATTATTTTCCAGTCGCGAAGCCGTAGAATCGTTTGCGGCGATTTGAAGCAGAAAATTGAAACCGCGAATAGGCCGTGTGTCTCCTTCGTTCGAACAACTTCGTCGATTCGAAGAATTTTGGGACCCGGTTTTCGGGAAAATTTCGGCGCTGTCGTCGCGCTCATTAAGAAAATCCGAAGAATAAATTGTGAACTTCTACGGCAGCACGACTTCATTGGCAGCTTAGCGCTATCGCGTTGGCGCAGAGCGGCTCGTTCGATCGGAATTTGGACGCGATAGCGGCCGCGTTTGGCGGGCATTATTTCAGAGAATTACAGGGCCGAGCGTAATGCGCGGTTCTTAATGAATTTGTCGACCGAACCGACTAGGGTACGGTAACGGCTCCCGATGCCAACAGAAATCACGGATCCTGCCGGTGGTCGCATGGTTTCGGTGTCGGTTGCGAGTCACGCGCATCGAATCCCGCTTAATGTGTCGAAAGATGGGAAGCTGCTGAAGCTGAAGGAGGGATTCGTTAAAAGCTTCGTGTACTTTGTCGAACACCCGCGAATTAATACGGATCGTCGCGGACGAAACCGCGTCCGCAAATTCACAGAATTCAAGCGTGATCCTCTCTCGCTTCGCACTGAAACCAGCCCGCGGTGGGATTCGGTGCTGAATAGTTTCCTCTCCGAGTTTCAAAACAGGTTGTGTGGATTCCTAAATAATTGCGTCTCTTTGCGACGGTCTTGGAGACAAACGGAATTTGTTTTTACCTCGTTTACAGATTGCGCTCCGATAGCGGAAAAGTATTACAGTAATGTCTCCCTTATTGTCGCCAAATTGCGACAAAAAATGGACTATCTGGGAAGAGGAGATACGATTGTTCGAGCCTTGCGGCTCGTTTTTATAATTGTTAACAAACGCTAGCTATAAAAACTAACTGCAAGGCTCGAACAATCGTATCTCCTCTTCCCAAATTGTCAATTTTTGAGCACGATCTGAGCATCGGTAAGGGAGACATTACTGTATTCCATTGCCCCTTTCACGATGGAAGTAGCGAATCTGTCTTGTCCTGAAATCTCATTCTAATACCGAGGATATGGACCCGGTCACCGATAAGCAAAATAATAAATTCTTTGGAATAAGAAATAGGGTGGTGGAAAACATTGCGAAGGAACAAAATGTTTGGAACAGGAAGAAGGGGAATTAGAAAATACGGGGGAACGCGCGTAAAGTGGAAATCTTTTGTGCGACAGGATTAAGAGATCGCGGGGCAGCCGGAAAGGATGCGATCGAGCGAACACAGGATCAAGAGAAAGGTTTCTCGACGAGGCTGCAGGCATCTCGAGGGACTGCTCGGGTTGCAGATTGCGGCGCAGCTAGGGCCCGAGGCCGCACGATGGGAAATGCGCTCGTGAACGATCGTCAACCGGTGTCCCAACCTGCGAAGTGTCACCGTTGAGAAGCTAATCGCAATCATGTCGAACGAGACAAATGCGACGGACGATTTTCCCGACTACGACATCAACGAATCGTACAGCCACTTCAACTGGGCGGAACTTGCGCCTGTCCTCGTCGTCTACTCTCTCACCTTTTTCCTTGGATTAGTCGGTGAGTACCATTTCGCCTCGTTTCATGCCGCTTCATCTCGTTTCATCCCGCTCGATTTGCTCCGTTCGTTCTTCCTCTTCCGGTCAGCCAGAACATTCTTCCACTGATTCCGGTTGCAGACTACTCGGGCGCGAACCGCCGCGACGATAAGAAACTTTCCGATAAGCGTAGATCCTCGATCGTCATTGTCCGAGAGGTCTCTCTTGATTAAAGTTCCCGATGCTCGGATGCTTCGGTCGCTGTAGCCTTTCGATCGAATCCGTCCAGCCACCGCATAGATTTCCCGCTAGTTCAGGTATTTCTCGATCGATCGTAATTCCGGATGAATGTCCAATTAGTTTCTAATCGTCGCAGTCACCCGATCGCATGTTTTGTGTTCGCTGGATCGAGGTCTCTTTGATCGCTGTACAATTGAATCTCGTTTCGACACGAAGTACTCGTTATCCCGGTCCGAATCGAATCATTTTTTTCGCAAACATCGCGCCGTTTTATGCGCAGCATTTATTACTCGCGCACGAGCTTGATCAAATAACATTTCGATTGCACTCGATAACGTCGATCGATGCGCGGAGTGGATATCGAGAATCGGTTGTCGGAATTTAATATCGCGATTCTCAATTTTTTCCGGCGTGTTTTCCCATCGGTCCCGCGAATCTCGGCCGAGTTATTAAGCGGAAATTCAATTTTCAGTTCGGGAATTATCGCAAGAGCCGTTCCAAACGAAAGCGGCTCGTTATTGCGAACGATTCGTCGGGCCGTCATCCTGCAGAAAAGCATTGTCGTTTCAATCGCCGAACGAGTCAAAGTGAGTCGGAAGCTCGGAGGATTAGCGCCGGCAGAGAGTATTACCGAAACTAATTAAGTTCAGCCGAGAACGCGTTTGCCGGGGGATAGTCTGCCAAACTCCCGTTATCAATCAGACACACAACTACGCGACAAAAGCGGGGTCCGGCTTTCGCAGTCGATGCAACTTCTCGTTTCGGAACGGAGATCCCGCGAAACCGCGATGCAATCTAACTTTAAGTGCGCCGCAAGCGCGAAGTTCGCCGTTGATATTATTACGAAACAGGAACGAACGGCAGGATTTACTCCGAGATTCCCCTAATTCCGCGTTACATGGATTCGGCCGGGTCGCCGGTAACTTTGATAGGCAGAATCGGGTCCCCCGTTTGCTATTCCGACAGGCCCTGGACTCGGCTCTAATCTCGCGACAGGCACCCGAGATTAAACTTTTATTCGGCGAGAATCGATGGAATCGCGAAGCAGAAATCTGCGATCCGTTATGATCGATTCATTAATTAAACGGTAAGATCCGATTTTTGATAGAAAGTTCAAGCGGAGCTCTTCACGATCGAAGCTATTTTTACGGGCGACTTTAATCATCAACTTTCGTCGAGGAAATTACTCGCTGTTTATTCTGGAGAGCAGCAGTTAACGAGAACTGCCGAAGATCCGTTTGCAAAGAATCGCGCAATCATTCCCGTAGATCCAGATTCTAGATCGGTCGATCGTGGCCCTGCGCTACACACGACTCGACGGGTGGGCGGGTCAATTATCAAGTTTTAATGAGAAACCGTAGAAACACCGCTGTGCATCGTGTTTTATTTCAGGAAACCTGCTCATCATCGCCTCGACGCTGTGCCCGCGATTGAGACCTCTACCAGCCACGCCGACCAACGTCTTCCTGGGAGGTTTGGCAACGGCCGATCTTCTGCTCATTATCTTCTGCATTCCCGTCAAGGTGAGCCTCCATCACCGCGATCGCGATCAATTCCGAATTAACCCTTAGGGTACCAAAACTATTTATTTCCAGTTTATTTCCACTGCCAAGTCCGGACCGTTTTCTCAGACGAAAAATCGTTGATATATTTTCATCTAAACAATCGTGCCTATTCTTTCAATGTTTCCTGCCAGATTTTACGGTTTTCTTGATTTCTGCCGCGTGTATGGCGGCATTGGACCGTTAAGGGTTTATTTGCCGACGCCGTTGCTTACCGATCACCGAATGAAACTTCCGTTCGGCGAGCGTAAACGTTCGGGAGCAATCTGCGAAGATCGCTCGAAGATTTCGTTTGCTTCGCAGCTGTCGTAAATCAAATATCATACTCGTCGAACTTTGTTAATTTTGCGGGTCTCTGCTTCGCCACAGTGTGCCATGGATTCGCAGAACGTGCTTCTACCGAGCCACGTCGTACACGCTCGTTCAATTTACATTATAATGAGAATGCTCAAAGGTTGTCCTAGTTCAGTCTCATTTCTGCAATATTTTCTACGTAATTCGATGAAATCCCGCCGATCGCGAAATTGTTGGATATTTTCGAAAATATCGTTCGCGCCGGTTCGCTCGAGATATTTGGTAACATCGTAGATTTCCGTGGTCTTTGCTGTTTTTACGAATCGGTAAAGAGACCCGTAACCCTGGACGCGGCGCAGGTTCTAATCGCGATTCCAGAAGTTTTTGGCAATTTTGCGCGTGGTCGACGCTAACGAATTTTGGCCACGCGAAACGGAGAATCTAAGTTGGGAAGCCCGGTCAGCCATCTTTGGTGGAATCGTCGGTTAGTTCAAATAGATTGGTTCTCCCGTGCCGAAGGCAACGGCCACTTGTACCAATGGAAATTTTGAGAACTGCTTGGCTCGGTGCCCGGCCTTTCGACTTGGTAACGCCGCAAATCGGTAGTAGATGAATCAATATACGTAACAATAATCTCGAAGGAAGCTGACATCACTCGATGACTCGTACATTTGATCGTACACTCTCCTCCAACCAACGATCCACAGAGCCATCAATTTCCTGCGACGCTTATATGCGCTTGCACTAACAGCAAACTGACGTTTTACGGTCGATCCGAAATTTTATCGCGATCGAATCACCGTGAGTCACCGTGCTTCCACCCGGTGGACGGTAAAATTATCAGTTTGTGAAAGTGCAATCGCAGTTTTCACCTGGTCTCGTAAAAAATAAAAATATTGGCACACAGCTTCGGTAGGCAAATTCAACGATAAAGTACAGGGAACAGTCACCGGATCGTGAAAAATGAAAATGAAAATTCCTTCGTTCCGCGGAAAAAGGTATAAATTACCGAATGCACTTTCTCAGCGGAGAGAGGGCAACGTATCAGATTAATCAGAAGAACAAGAAACTTCGCTAGGAATTCTTGTCTGGCTGAATTTATTACATCGGTCCGTAGCCATTTCCCGATACGAGGCTCGGCGGGGAGAGAAATAGTTTTAGCACGCCGAATAATTGAATTGGTTACAGCGATCCGAGGCAACCTAGCCCCGAATTCAGCACTCCGATACATTTTCGCCTCAACATTTTTCATAATTCCGTGTTAATTAATTCTTGCGACGCAGCCGTGATCCGGGTCGAAACGACATCGTAAGTTTCCAGAGAATAGTTGGGCGCCAAGAATCTCTGGTAACAGGAAGTACATTAATTAAAGCGAACCTTCGGCTCGTCGAGGATCGTTGTTGAGGCAACCGGTGCAGTTAGGTGCATCTAGGGTCTCCCAATTTGGGGTGCATCTAGGGTCCCCCAATTTGGGGTGCAGCGCGAGCACGCTCGCAATTAATACATTTCTTTAATCTGAACGGGCAAATACGTTCTCCGTTTTCACTCCACATATTCACATAAAATACTGTTTAATAATCTCAGCAAATATTGCAGTACGTCCGTTCACAATTTCTACCACAATGGTTTCTTCAGCTACTTTCTATTTTTAGGCACACGATAAATATGAATTTCCTTTCTCGTCTAAGAAATTGCTGCAATCGAGAAACTTGTAATCTACGAAGAAAATGATACGACAATGGATTAATCCTTGCGCCAACGAGTGGATAAGCTTTTCCTCGAGTCCGCCTTTTTCTGTTTCTCGACGGCCTTGGAATCGAACTGAAATATTGCCTCGAGTTCCCGAAACTTGTCTGGTCGAGCGTACGCTGGCATAAACATCCGCCATAATGTGGAATATAGATCGTCCGATGTCCCGCCACACGGAATCTCATGAAACAATGATCGCGGGTTTATCGTGCGGTCGTAATAATTCATTTCCGGAGTCTGTTTTCGTCGTTCCGAATTTATCGCGTTCCACGGTCTGCCCCGTTCATCTCGATAGAGAGCGAGGCTGTAAAAGTGATCGCTCGTTCCTTTTTCCTATGGTCGTTCTGTTGTCACACGAGCGTCCCCGTGATCGATTGTCTCGCCCGAGCGTGTCTCGTTTATCGAAACAACAGGCTGGGCCCACCCTTATGAACGCGAGCCTCCAGGGCATTGTCGAGCTGCGAGTTTTCGACGCCTCGTTTCGCGATCGAGGCCGTCCACTGCAATTAAGCTGTCGCTCCCCAGTTTGGGCTCGGTCACGGTAACGGCCTGTCAAATTTCAGGAAGAAATTACTGGCCCGCTCTACGGGGTAAATATTGTTCCTCCGCCGTGGCCACCCCGCCGGGACGACACGGGTCTTCTTCTCGCCATGCTAACTTTCGCGACATTTTCTCCGCCGAGAACGATGAATCACGGCGCGCCGTTTTTCACAGCCACGGGATATAACACAAATCAACGAAGTCTTTGCTTTGCTCTTGTCGCGGGAGTATTACGCATTCCGCGTTTCCTGTTGTCGGTTGAATTTTTATCCTGCGAGAATTGTGCTCGGCGAAGCTGGAAAGTAATCCGAGAGAGTAATCACGGATTTGGAGAAATTTCATAAAGCGGGACTTCCGTTGTCGAATATTTTATAAAGAGATTGAAACGTAAACGGGCACGTCTTCTAACCTTCGTTCAACTCATTTGCATCGCAGGGAAGAATGAAACGTGTAATGATTGGACCGTGGATTTTATGTCTTTGTGATAAAAGTGACCTAGATAAAATATCGAAGTCTAAAGATATTAGAATCATTTCAGAACGTCGCTGTTATTTTCTCTGTAATTTATTGATATCGTTAGAAGAGAAGTATTTAATTTATGTCTCCTATAATTGAGATAAAACATTTGTATCTTGCAAAGGGATCCGCAGTCTAATAATAATTGTTTCGTATAGCATTCGTAGCGATAAATCAGTCAGTGGCGCTATTTTGACAAACCACCCGATATTTATCAGTTATTTTCGACGCTAACGACGGAAATGGGTCGATCGTAGACAAATATATTTTATTCTACGCTCACGAAGCTCTATAAAAAATTACTTAGAAGCAATGCTACTATTTTTCGCCAAAATAGCGGGACTTGGACCGTGCAGTTTACGAGCGGCCGTAAAAAAGTTTCAATCTGATTAGAGCTAAATAGATCCGCGTGGAATAGAATGACACCGAGATAAGGTATCTCGATAAGAATTTGGCGGATTCGTCCGTGGAGGAACGAATGGGACCGAATGTTGTTTGGTCGAAAAGAAATCGAGACACCATGTCTCTTGCCGAGAGAGAAGGAGAGGGAGAGAGATAGTCCGGTGTCAAGGCGGCGCCGGGACGTTCTGGCCCGAATGAAAATAAAATCGAATTGTGCCAAGTTCTAAATTTACGTATCCGAGAATCGGCTGCGACTTGTCTCGTGCACGAGCGCGAACTTCGCCTCGGTTTTACTGTCACTGTGGGTCAGTCGCTCGTCGATCGTCTCGTCACTGGCCAGTCTTCGTCCGGCATTCGCGATCGAATCTGCCTTTACGAGCCGAACTCTCTGTTTCGATTCGTCTAGGCACGGTTTCTCGCTGATTTACTAGTTTATAGCTCGCGTGATTTGGGGCACGTTTTTATGCGGGGACTGCGATAAACGATAAGAAACGTGAAAACATATTTCACTGTTTTATATGGGAGTACTCGCGTCCGAGCAACGGCCGGATATCTCGCCCATCGCCGAGAAACCCGAGATGTCTGAAATTGGACTATTAGCATAGTTATAAACACGCCGTAGAAAGAAATTCTCGCAGCTTTCATGCTGTTACAGCTTTTATCGCGGCTCCAACGCAAACGTACTCTCGGCGGAACAAAAAGGTTTAATGCTACGGACAAAGAATGGTCAAGAAAGTGGGCGCAGCCTGGCAGTGTGTCCCGAGTAAAAGTAATAAAGAATAGAATGTAGAAACTTTTTTTTAGGGGAGCTTTAGTGCTTTCGAGAAGATTGAATTAAAATTTCCCCGCGTTACGCGAAGCGACGCTTGCATAAAAATTCGCCGAGAAAATATAAATGAACGAAGTTTCCGGCGATCCTTTCCTCGAGTGTATCATATCGAGAACTTTGCATTTCTACCCTTCTAGAATCTTTCCAGTGATAGGAGCACTATACCGTGCATCGACGATCCCGCCGGAAGGTTAGCCAGAAGAAACCTCGCGCTCGGATTAACATAATGAAGAGGTCGAACCTGAAAGAGTCGATTCTCTTTCCAAGCGGTTTCCATTCCGGCTTGGAAGCGTCGTGCCAGGAACTTGCTCGGTATCCTTTAAAAGCGAATTACGCTGTCCCGTCGGTGCTTGAAACTTGGTTTTACCGTGCACGGACAATTACGCGAGGAAATATTTTCGTTGCGGTCCGAGCGTTAACCGGTTACCCTCGACCCTTTAATTTCTCGTTCGCGAGATAAAGAAGCCCTCGAGATGGTCCGGCGGCTCCCTTAAGAAATAGGGATCGAGTCGAGCAAAGGGCCGCCGGCGGAAAGCGAGAGTCCTCTCTTATTGGTCTACACGCGGCAACATCTTAATCCGCTCGGCTCACGGCGAGGCGAGACAAGGCGAGGCAAGGCGAGGCGGACAAC